CGCGGTGCCAACGTGCGTGGGCTGACAGGTTGACAAGCTGACAGCGAGCCGGACCCCGACCACCCGACACCTCACTGTCAGTCGGGCCTCCAGTCTCCCGTAACTCTCTCTCTCTCTGTCTCTCGTCTCTCGTCCTCCCTTCCTGCGATCCTTTTCGGTGTCACGCTCCTTCCGTGATCCTTCACAGGCTGCAGTGGTTCGTTCCGCTGACGAAAGTTGTTCGGAGGAGAAGAAACGGAGGGATGGTGGTGTTACGGTTATGGCGTGAAAAAATAATATTGCTCGTGTATGTATACTGGTTTCGCGAACTGGATTACTATATATTTTTATTTAACTTTCGCTCGAATAAACCTCCGATCGATCGCGATTTTGGGAAGTTAGGGGAATGTTAATGATTATAACGAGGAGTATATATAGGAAGGGAACAGTTGGAGATGTTGGAGTGGAAAAATTTGTATGCGCATGTAAATGTATTTGGTGAATGATCCTTTTTTCTTTTTTTCTTTTTCATACGTTTCGAGAAGATTCTTAGATTTCAGGATTTAAAAGAAAGAAGGATCTAAAAAATGGATCTAAGATAGGACTGTGAAGGTGCGCTTCGAACAAAGTGGGGGAAAGGAGAGGAGTAGGAGTAGGAGTAGAAGGGGGAGAAGTTAAAACCTAACCTAAACCATCTGCGTGCCTGCGAGGCGACACGAGAACCGCGGTATGGTAAATTCCAATGGAACCCGTCTCGCCGTGATTTTCCCCCGTAGCCAGGAAGTACAAATCCCGAACAACCATTCGTCGTTCCGACGAAATTTATCACTGAACACAGGGGACGTGTCTTACCCCGGTCGGAGTCACTTCCACGCACGACACCAACAAATAGGTACTTAGGCCCGATGGGATGTTCGCCCGTTGGAACAAGCGTGGATTCTACCGGTTTTTAATAATTGTACCCGGTCCTCCTCGAAGGCAAGGGGGGAGACGAGGGGTGGGGGGGGGATATACACCCGGTTCCCTTATCTACGGCGAGAAACACACCGGCGAAAGGCTGAGAAACTTGGCGAGATTGGCTGGATAATTCTCGCATATCTTCGCGTTGACGCAATAATGGCGCCCGCCGGAAACACGTGGCCGACAGAGGCGCCGCCGCGCGTGCATTAGCGTCGATACCACGACGAATTCCATTCGCCTCTTAATACGCGCCGATACACAACGGCGGCCGGGCAACCATTAAAAACGAACGCCTCGAATTATTACGAATTCCACGCGACGCGTTTCGCGCGCTCACTCGTCGTAAATACTTGGGTTTTACAGCGTGGACGACGCGTCGCCCCGATCGAGCGTTGATCATAAAACCGCGATCCTTTAATAAAACGGACGGTCGAAAGACGCTTTTAACCGGTCGACCGTGTATCCTGGGTGTCGCGCCCTCGGTGACGAGAGCTGTCGGCTGATTTGTACACGGTGGGTAATTGAAGCCGTTTCTTTTTTTCTTTTTCTTCTTCTTCTTCTTCTTCTTCTTCTTCTTCTTCTTCTTCTTCTTC